TCTCTCTCTCTCTCTCTCTCTCTCTCTCTCTCTCTATCTATCTATCTATCTATCTATCTATATCTATCTCTATTTCTTCTATGTATCATCTCTCTTTCTCTCCCTTTCTGTCTCTCTCTCTCTCTCTCTACCTACCAACCAACCAACCAACCAACCAACCATCAGCAGCAGTTGAGATCAAAATTTCTGTTGCTAAGTGAGACATTGGTTAAGTGAGTTTTGCTCCATGTAATGACCTTTCTTGCCACAATTGTTAAGTGAATTGTTGTTCATTTAGCCACATGGTCCTTCAGTGGCTTTCCCCATGGACTCGGCTCGCCAGAAGGTCCCAGGGGGAATAACGTGACCTTGGAACACTGGGAGTGTCATAAGCATGAGTCAGTTGCCAAGCCTCTGAATTTTGATCAGGTGACCAAGGGGTCATAGGTGGGCAAAACGGTCATAAGTCGCTTTTTCCCCAGTACCCTTGTAACTCTGAATGGTCACTAAACATACTGTTATAAGTCGAGGACTATCTGTGTAGCCGGCCGACTCACCTGCAGGTTTTTTTTTTCCGACAGGTTTTTGGGGGAGGCCCATGTGCCCCTCCGGGATGTCTTGGCCTCCCCCAATCTGGCTGCCAGCTTCAATGCCCCTCTGCTGGATGCCAAGAGGCAGAACACAGGGGTAAGTCCACTTTGGGGGTGACGGGGGTGCGGGAGTGGGGCTCTCCTGGCCCATGGTGGGAAGGCAAAGCATGTTCAGAGTACTGCAGCGTAAATTCAGCGCCAGAAAAGTAAACGCAGATGGCTGAGGGCTTCGTTTAACTTCTTTATAAACATATAAAGTAAATTTTACAATACCAGTTGTAGATTTCTCCAACATGGAGCAAACTCAAACAGAAGCAGACATGTTACAGGTTCAGAGCAGAACAGCAACTCAGGAGCTCAGAAACAGACATCCATTTCACTTTAGTTTATTTATTTATTTTATTTATTTATTTGATTTGTCAATCGCTTATAAGATAATAAGTATAAGTATAAACATGAATAAGAATACATGAAATAGGTACAAATAAATGGGGACAATAGGACAGGGACGGGAGACACGATGGTGCACTTATGTACGCCCCTTACAGACCTCTTAGGAATGGGACAAGGTCATTGACTGGCAGGACATTGTAGCAGATAATTTTGTGTACTACGCTTAGGCGGCGTAGTTCAAGATTGTCCAAGCCCAAAATTTCAAGTCTGGTGATATAGGGTATTCTGTTGTGAGTAGAGGAGTGTAGTACTCTTCTCGTGAAAAACTTCTAGACTCTCTCAATTGTCTTAATGTCCGATATACAGTGCAGATTCCAGACAGATGAGCTGTATTCGAGTATTGGTCTAGCAAAGGTTTTGTATGCCCTAGTTAGCAATTCAATATTTCCAGAGGAGAAGCAGGCAAGCAAGCAAGCAAGTTAGTGTCTCTTTCACTTTAGAGATGAGCACAGAACAGAGGTAAACCACGCCCAGGTTCTCTCTTTAAGTTTCAGCCCTCAATTCAGCTCTCATTGGCTGACCTTGTTACTAAGCTTTATTCCAGTTCATGAATATACTCTGACAAAAGCACCCTGATGGTGGAGCGGGCTGGGGAATTCTGGGAGTTGAAAGTCTCCCCCCCCGCCCCGTCTTCAAGGTGGAGAAACCTTGCTCTGGAGGAAAGAGGCTGGGGGCAGCATACCAACATGGCTCTCTGGGTCTCCCAGGAGTTATGGGGAATGCAGTAGGACCACGTGAATGCAATGCTCCTAAAGCTTGGCGATTTGAAGACGGTGGACTTCAACTCCCAGAATTCCAGAGGTGGATTGCTGGGGCTCTCGTGGGCTCGGGAGAGCCCCCAATGACCTCAGAAAGACAAACAGCAAGGGAAAAACTCTTAATAGGCTCAATTGAACGTCTGGGCATTCAGCCAAGAGCATTTCACACCTCGTAAAAGTGTTGCAAGCTAGATAAACAATCCACTCGCTTGTGTGAGAGAGCCATTGAGAAAAATCAGAAAACAAAGCCACTCGCCTCCGAGGGAATTAATCCTGAAATAATAAGAATCACTTAACTCAGCAGAAACTCCACTAAGGCTCCAAGATCCCTCTCACAGTCACTGCTATTAAGCCTGGTTACACCCAGTCTTTTATTTAAGTATTAAATGCACAGAATAATACAAACACTTTTTGGTATATTATCTTTTTTGAGGTAATTAGGGCAAAGAAGCGACGTTGAGTTGGCCACACCCACCCAGTCACATGACCACCTAGTCACACCTACCCGATCACAGGACCACCCAGCCACGCCTACCCAGCCACGCCCACCCAGCCAGTCATTAGGGCAGAGAGCTCCTTGCTCTCGACAAAGATAATGCATGCTTTGCTTCCAGCAAGGAGCTGTGTGTAAATGCCCCTCTTATATTCTGTTCTCCCAGCCGCAACTAATAAAAGGGATCAGGGCCTTTTTCTCTCCCATAAGCCACATTGCTCCCTTCTCCGTTCCTCCCTGCATGCCTTAGGATGAAGAGGGGGTGGGCCTGGGTCTTCCTCTGAATGCCCAGCTGGACTGTGACCTTCCCCCGTTTCTTCCACAGCCACCGGAGCCACACTCCCACTCCCTGTCAGCTGCTCAATCTCCCCCTCAGAATCAGACTCCAACAAGGGCATGACAATTTCTAGGTTGCCACCTGTTTCCTTTTAACGGCGGATGTCGGCACACACTCCGTCTCCTCACTGGGTGTTGTTTCAGTGAGGGACGGTGATTGTGTATTCTTTGCTTCAAAGTGAAGATCAGAAATGGGTTTGGTTGTTCTGTTGTTAACTGATTGGAAGGGCTGGGAAGTGGTCATTACAATGGCTTTTCTGATTTGTGTGTTGCAGAGGTTAAATAATAATTAAAAAAAACCCATCACCATGTAAGAGTAGTGTTTTGGGAATTTAGACAGAAGATCTCTTTAACACAGCCACATTGGCCTGAATAAAGAAGCAGCTGCTTTAAAGAGGTCCTGTTGTCAGGGTTCCGATGGAAGCCCTAATTCATTCATGAGCCTCGAGCCAAGTTTCAAAAGAAATCCAATTATTTATTAGGAGCAACATGTTGGCACTTTTCCTAAGATGCAGTCGGCTCTGCCCTACGTAATTTGCTGCCCACCTATGACCCTGTTTCCCCACTCCTCCCAGAGTGTGTCATAAATCACATTCTCCAACTAAGCACTTTCACGGGCTGTCTCTGGTAACCTGAGACACAATCTGGAGAAAGGTATGCATGGAAAGTGCTTCTAGTCTATAGCAACTGAACTGCTTCCATCAGATCCCCCCTCCTTCTTATGGCAACTTGAGAGCAAGCCAGGAATGCTTTACGAGTTGACACCTGTCTCACCAGGTTGTCCAAGCCTCTGCACCTAAGCCTCCTTTTGAGAGACCATCCTGTTTTGACCAAGGCTTCCTGAGACCGTAACTAAGTCCACGCTTAGTTAAAATAACTCTTGTTTTATTTCAACGCTGGGAATTATGTTTATTCCCAGCCTGTAATGAGTCCCAAGCAGTCCCTCGAGATAAGCACCCACCTTTCTCTCCTTTGAAGTACTGCCAACAACTGAAGTGCCAAATGAACTATAAAAAACCAACCGAAGTACAAAGTCCACACAGAGCTTCAAGGGTTAATCCAAATAGAGTGAACGACGACGTTGCTTCCTGCAAAGGTTCCTGTCCCTTTGCACTTCCTTTATATCTTATGGGAGGGACAATCACCTCCAAGCCTTACTCCTGAGTCACCCCTTCTGCTTCAGCTGCTCTTGCCTTCTAGCAGCTCTGTGCACACGCAAACTAGGAACAGGCTCCCCTGGGTCCTCTGCTTTGCTGCTGCCAGACTCCGAAGGCTCCCAAGGCAGCACCCCACTCTCAGATGGTCCTGGCCCCCTCCCTGCATCGGATACAGGACCCTCGTCCAAGTCCTCTCCAGACTCCCTGACTGGTTCTCTTTCGTCCTCACTGTCTGATACCTCTGCCGTCTGCACCAGCTGCTGGCGAACCACAACACATCCAACCCCTTTCATTTCATGTCCTTCATCCAAACTTTTCTATTTTGCAGGGGTGTCTGATCCTCCAAGCCTCCTACACTCCACCCCCGGGGGCAGCTCCTTTCATCCCTCCTCCAGCCCCTCCGGAGCCAAATCCGACTCTCCCTGAGCTGGACACGGTGACAGGTAAGGAGGCGAACCATCCCAGCGTAACTCCATCTCAGGGCGGACCTGCCAAAGAGAAGGACAGGGTTGGAAGGGACCTCAGAGGTCTTCTAATCCAGCCTCCTGCTCAGGCAGGAAACCCTAAACCAGGGGTGTCAAACTGGATTGCATTGAGGGCCGCATTAGGGTTGGGTTGACTTTGGGGGGGGGACAGAGTGGGGTGTTGCCAACATAACGTCACTCATATTGGTGATGCCTCTGGTGGCCCGAGCGCTCAGCCAGTGAAAAACGGGCTCCCAAACTCTGTTTCCAGCTGCGATGGTCCCCTGCAACCCTCTGCCAGCCAAAACGGAGCTTGGGAGAGCCGTAAGGCGGCCCTCCCGATCTCTGTTTTCACTGGCAGAGTCCCCGCGGGCTGGTCCCTCGCTGTTTCTAGGGCAGCAGGCCTGATCTAAGCACCTTGAGTTTGACACCCCTGCCCTAAACCATTCCAGACAAACGCTGTCCAATATCATTTTTCAAAACCTCCAGTGTTGGAGCACCCACAGCTTCTGTTTTCTGTTTCCCTGGTTGATTGTTCTCACTATTAGGACATTTCTCCTTAGTTCTAGGTTGCTTCTCTCCTGGATTAGTTTCCACCCATCGTTTCTTGTCCTGCCTTTTGGAGTGCTTTGAAGAATAGCTTGACTCCCTCTTCTTTTTGGCAGCCCCTCTGAGATATTGGAAGACTGCTATCATGTCTCCCCCACTCTTTCTTTTCATGAAACGAGACATACCCAGTTCCTGCAGCCGTTCTTCCTATATTGCAGTTTTTGGTGTGCTATGGTGTCTGTGTGTGTGTGCGTGCATGCGTGCGTATTTCTTAGCTTGAGCAAATCAAGGTTCCAAGTTCTGGCCTGGGTAAAGAGTTTCCCAGGAAGCTAAAATGTGGTGGCACTTACAGAATAATGGATGAAGTCCACCCTTGGTTTACGGTTCAGGAAAATGGGGTGAATTGCAAACCCCTTCCGAGGTTAACTAGGAGTCACAGAATAGCAGAGCTGGAAGGGACCTTGGAGGTCTTCTAGTCCAACCCGCTGCTTGAGCAGGAGACCCTATTCCATTTCAGACAAATCATGTCTCCCCTAGTCCTTCTTTTCATTAGACTAGACATACCCAGTTCCTGCAACCGTTCTTCATATGTTTTATCCTTCAGCCCCCTAATTATCTTTGTTGCTCTTCTCTGCCCTCTTTCCAGAGTCTCAACAGCTTTTTTTTTTACTTCTTGGTGACCAGAATAAAGCCCCCTTTTTCCCCTTTTGATTCTGAATGCTCTTCTTTGGTTTATGCTTTGTAATGTGTCCTATTTGGAAGGCCAGTACAGACCAGGAGATGAGCCATGAAACTGTGAAGGGATCATTTCATGGACAAGTTGATGGAGGGATTTGTGTGTGTGTGTGTGTGTGTGTGTGTGTGTTGTCACTGCTTTCCTCCAGCCAGGCTGGCAATGCCTATTAGTGTTGCTGACCTTTTTGGAGATCAGTTCGTTTGCCCGGTTCAGATCTCCAAAAAGGTCAGCGACACCACAAGGCATTGACCTTTTTTGGAGATCTGAACTGGGCAAATGAACTGAAGGGAAGCAAAGTCCAAAGAGAATTTGAGCTAAGGTTCCATTGTGACTAACATCCAGTGATAGATCTGTTTTCATTAATCAGAATACCAGAATAACAGAACGACAGAATGACAGAACAACAGAATAGCATAATAACAGAGTAACAGGATTTCAGAATATCAGAATAACAGAATGACAGAACAGAATAGCATAATAACAGAGTAACAGGATTTCAGAATATCAGAATATCAGAACAACAGAATGACAGAACAACAGAATAGCATAATAAAAGAGTAACAGGATTTCAGAATATCAGAATAACAGAACAACAGAATAACAGAACAACAGAATAGCAGAATAACAGAGTAACAGGATTTCAGAATATCAGAATAACGGAATGACAGAACAGAATAGCAGAATAACAGAGTAACAGGATTTCAGAATATCAGAATAACAGAACGACAGAATGACGGAACAACAGAATAGCA